CCCAGGAGCCGCCGTCGCCTGGGAAAACATTTTGGGGACGAAGAGGTTTGGGATATCTTGGCCCAGGTGCCAGAGTCTGTGGATAGCAGCTTTGTGTGTCTTGGCCCAACGACTGGGTGTAATCTTCGTCCCCAGGTGCTGCTGGGTTTGCGACACATCCATGACCGAGGCATTGTCCATAGGGAGTCCCAGCTGCACAGCGGGTCGGGGTCGGGGCTCGGAGACGTCAAGTAGTGAGAAGAAGACGTGTCTCCTAGTAGCGATGCCCTTTGCTCCTAGTAGCGTTAAGACTAATAGCAAACTGTAAGAAAACATTGCTCCTAGTAGTACGATGGCCTCCAACCTACTAGCGTCCCTGTTACTAGTAGCTTCTTGTTCCTAGTAGTAAGGCCAGGAGCCCCTAGTAGCTTCTTGTTCCTAATAGCTTCTAGTTAGTTAGTAAGAAAACGGTAAACATGGTAAGAGACAAAAAGAAATCATGTGCTCCGGTATCCGCTCAACTGCTAAGGACATCAAGTCTATGAACCTCTTCCTAACAGACGAAGGCGATGGCAATTGCTCCTAGTATTGTCAAACATGTGTTTGACCTCATGAAACTACCTATTTGGTTCCTAGTAGCGAACATTGCTCCTAGTAGTACGGCCAGGAGCCCCTAGTAGCGATGCCCCTAGTAGCGATGCCCTTTGCTTCTAGTAGCGATGCTGCAAGTTCATTGGCCACTTTGGCCCCTTCCAACTTGTCGCCCTCCAGGTGTCATCAAATTGGGTGACTTCGGCGTGTCGCGGCAGATGTCGGAGAAGACCCTTTGCTTGCACTCTTTCTATGGAACACCCTTGTTCTGCCCTCAGACATTTATGTTGTTACTCTGTTAGAGGCCATCGCTTCTAGGTTGGAGGCCATGGCTATTAAGTTTCTTTTTTACTCTTTCTTTTCTCAAAGGAGAAAAGTGGACGTGGACGATCACATCTGCAGCTCAGGTATTTTTCTCCGGAAATCATTGAAGGCACGGAAATCTTGCAGGTTGACATTTGAACCAGCGAGAACGATGCAAATCTCCCTATGCTTGTGAGTTCTGAGTTTCACTGCATGCTTCTTGATTTCTCTTGCCTCAGAAGAGATGAAAAGGACCTTACCAAAAAAGAGCCCTTGTCAAAAAGCCTTGTTCATCTCGAGGACGTCCTTATTCGCATTCCACGGATCTTTGGTCTTTGGGCGTGGTGCTTTACGAACTCCTCTCCTTGGAGTTACCCTTCAAAGGCCCAAGTCTCCAGGACCAAACGAAAAGGCCCCGTTCGTAGCGTCCGATCGCTCCTAATAGTACGGCCAGGAGCCCCTAGTAGCTTCTTGTTCCTAGTAGCGTATTTCAATATTATCTTCAAGTTTCTTTTTTTTTCATTCGTTTCAACCAGAAAGTTTTGTTCTTGAGTCATGAAACCCGGACATACCCAAACCCTTGACGGGCCACTAGGATGTGATTGCCGCTGTACTGCGGGGCCAATATGCTCCTCTCAGTCGACCTGCGGAGCGGTTGTGGCCAGTTTTGAAACAAGACATCAGAGACAGTGAGAAGCTTTGTTCTTTTTTTGAAGTCACAAGAGACAGTGACAAACCCAAGGTCTCATCATGTTCGGTAAAGAATTGTATAGAGTCAGATTCTATTAGAGTCTTCTTGACAGCAAAAGCAAGCACCCTTTCTTTTTTTGTCAGACTCAGTCACGACTCAGCTTCTTGTTCCTAGTAGCGTCCTTGTTCCTAGTAGTAAGGCCAGGAGCCCCTAGTA